TTTTTTGAATAAAGTATTATTAATATTAAAATAGTGAACTTCCACGCAATCTGGCGGCTAATCAAAGTCAAGGACCAAATTTTTTTGGCTCATTTAGCTTCTAGTTTGATGTACTTTCATTAAGAAAAGTTCTTAAAAATCTGATCTAGGATCTATTGCCCATGAACATCCTTAAACTAAAAATGCTTATACAGTGCTGCTGTGACCGGGCCAATTAAACTAGGCAGACAAGAAGACTGACCAATTAAAAAATACAAATATAAAATTGGCCTCACTGCCCAAAGTTGGAATGTATCGTTTTTATTTTACAATTTGATTGGTTCTCGCTTTCTAGGTGGCCACGGTTTTAGTTTTCAGACTGTAAAAGCTTGTAAATGCATCACATACCTCCATTAATGTCTAGAAGACAGATTTTCCGTGTTGGGTTGCCGGTGTTGTTGGATTTTATCCAATATGTTCCGTTACCAACAAACTCATCACTCTCTAGTACATCCAGACATGATTTGCCTGGAAGCCCCTTCATCCCTTTAACTGGCTCTATAAAATGTAAATCATCATTTTCTGTATAACATTCCATGATCATTTTGGTTAACATTGCAACCGTGTTCAGTTCTAGCCAGCTGATCTGAATTAGTAGTGATTTAATAATGACGTCAATACAAAACTGATGTTTCACATGATGCCTGCGAAAGATGGTCGAATAAAAATGATTTTAAAATGCCCTTCATACTGCAATAAGAGTATAAGAGTCATTAAATATTGACTCTCTGTTATCAAGCGTTTTTTTTTTTTTATTATTAATTTTTTTATTTTTGACTGGAAATCCATTGTTTCGAGAGGAAAAGTGACACCTCAGTTCTGCAACTTTTATCGATTCTGATTGGCTAATATCTTTTCTCAGATCAGCCGGTCATGCCTGCGAATAATACAGGCAGCCCAGTGAAAGCCTATAGGGCATCTTGTTTATATTAAGTCAGTACTTACCAGGAGTCCTGAAGAAAATATTTGTACAGTAAATGTTATGCATCCTTGGCACAAAGCGGTGAGGGCGTGACTCTTTAGACTGTGAATTTAACTCGCACTGATTGGTTAGGAGATTGAAATTGATACTGATGCACAACTGGTGGTTTTTGCACTCCTGCAGACATGACTGATAATCCTTTTTACCAACTGATTGGTAAATGTATTTTATTAAAGCAAAGCCAAATTCTGAGTGAGTAACTTCAGATTTACAGTTCTTTTTGAAGGCGGCATCGGTTAGTACGAAGAAAGTCACGCAACAAAACAAAACCTGCAATAAAAAAATGGAAAAATCTAAGAATTCTTGTACAATCAATACCTTAGGCACCCCCTTGTTTCTTAATTTTAAATTGCTGCTGTTATTGCTATTACAAAAGAGGGGGACAATAAAACTAATTTTGCTTGTTGCAATGTTTTTCCAATGCAGCCCACATGTAATTTCCAAGGGTAATACTTCATCATTTCGAAATTACCGCTCATTATACATGGGACGTCTTTGTAGTGGTTAGAGCATCCGACGGGTATCTGGAAGGTCAAGGGATTGATTCTTATCAAGAACTCTATTGCTTTTTTCCAAGTTACTTTCAGCTAGTGACAAATGATAAATAGACCTAATTACTTTCGTACGTACAAATGTTTTTTTCAGATGTTTTTACACATGATTACTGATGAACGAATAAATTTTAGAATAGTCCCTTTTATCATTACGTAAATACCGCTGTGTTTTAAGACTAAAGACTCATCTCCGTAGGCTTAGCCTCGCTTAAGAGTAAATCATTTGCAAATGTCAACTTTAATGTAAAGAATGTGCAGCTTGAACAATACCAATGTTTTGAAATCCCACGGACTTTTTATGGTATCTGTGAATAGCTGACTTATAAACGAAGCTAAGACTGTACAAATGAATCCGTGGTCTTCAATAACAGCGGTATGCATTGAATGTGAAACTGGTGTATAGGGATAAAGAAACAATTCTCTAGAGAACGTCATGTTAACATCACATGCATGGTTTGAAATAGGTAATTTACGAAATTTTAAAAAAAATACATCATACCTCCAGGGATTTGGCCATTAAAAAGCAATTTTGAATAAATAACCGGATTATTTTATGACACTTAATTTGTAATTTCACTTATCATTGTAATTTTAATTTTGTATGTCATAGCTGCTATGGCTTTTGACAGATTTTCCTCATAATTGTGCTGTAACTGTGGCGGATTTAGGGGGGGTTCATTGGGTGCAAATGAACCCCCACCGGCTGGTACCTTGGATTTTTTTTTTTTAAATGAATAAATAAAAGTATGGTGGGTCCGCTTTTTGAAAATTAGCACCTTCGCCCAAATGGGACTGGTGGATAGGTTATCCTTATCAGGAGCGCCCCTAGGCCAGTGATGTGCTTCATGGGAAAAATGATGATGCAAGAGGACGTTATTGTTGTGCCAAGATTTGCAAAAATGAACCCCCCCTCTTAAAGTCCTGGATCCGCCACTGTGTAACTTCACTTAAACAATCTTGAAGTCTCTAATAAACACTGCTTAACATTAGTTTTCCGTTGATATTTCGCTGGAAAGTATTGTACAGTTGCAAATTTTTAAAGAAATCCCAGTCATTATCTAGCCTACAACAAACATCGTTTACGTTTCTATACATTTGTGAATCAAGTATGCGCTAGAATTGAAGAAAAGAGACAAAAAAATCAATTCGAATTTAAAATATTCATACTTTAAGTCTGTCAGAAGCCAGCCTTTGGGCTTCATAGAAATAAAATAACTCAAGAAGTTAGTCGAAGAAATTTATGAAAAATAACCAGTTTGTCTGGAAAAACAGGTACGCACCTATTCCCGAAAAATTCAAATTAGTTCAAACGCGGAAGAATATATGATTATAGGATCTTTTTTCCCTAAAACAAACAATAGCTTTATGTAAAGTATTGTGTTATTTAGTATCCAAATTGAAGTGCAATGAAAATGTTTTTAAAGATTACAGGGTGATCTCAAGATTTTTATTGTCAGACTAGAGTTGACCAAGCAAACTTGCCAGAGGGCACAGACTTTGTTGTTTATTCCTTGGATTACTAAAAATGACCTCAACTTGTACTTGTAAATCTAGAACTGACAAATGCAATGACCAAAACAATCACATCCTGCAATTCTTTCTCTTATCAATCTTTAGTGTTACGAACGGTTTCGGGTCGAACCTCTTTCGGTTTTCGATTATAATCGAATTAAAATCTAATCAAATTAGTAAAGAATTCTCCTAAAATAATGTTCGACGACACAAGCAGTAAACTTGTGCACTTATAAAAAGTGTCGATTACTTTTTTTCTTAATATATTTAACTTACCAAACTTTGCATTTTGTTCGACTTTAGTTTGTGTGGCTTTATCTTCATCGCAGCAAACAGTATGATCATAATACAATTTTGTAGAAGGCTCTCGACCAAGTTTATTACGTTATGTTGAACAGTAGGGAGTGACTTGTGCGTTGTATGAAAGACAATACCTATTTTTTGTTGAAAATGTACAATATAAAAGAAGAAGAGAGAAAGAAACAGACCTTTTCACCAACCCCTCTTCGTACCCCGAAACCAGCGCCAGCAGTACAATTCGTGAAATTAAATGGAACGCAAGGGATCTCTGGTCTGTCGAGCCACTCATTTTATTGGACCTCGTCTTAGACGTTCTTACAAGTCAATTATCAGATCTAACTACACAAATTAGAGCAGATTCAGGTTGACCAGAAGGACTTGGCTATGTCGGTGTGGCTGTCGGTCGGGATTCCTTACTCGACCACTGTCCTGTACCTCTCAGTACAATCCGAACTACAACCTTAATTAGTTGTTCACAATTAAGTACAAGATTGAGTGCACTGAAATAGTTAAATTGCTCGTCCTTACATCACCAGGTAATCTAATCTGAACTGATTCTTTTTTACTTCACGTATCTAGACAAGCTCAACCTTGGTGGTTTGAACGTTTTGGTTAATTTGAAAGGGGTTTGTAGAACAGGAAACTACAAGTAGATCTCCAAGGCAAAACATTCTCGGTTACTAAACTAAACACGTAGACTTGCAGACTCATATACGAAAAGCATTATTTATGTAAACAAATGAGTCCTAAAATTCTGTTGCATAACAAGTTCTGAACCTAAACAAGTCATTAAAAATATCTTTATTTAAGTGTCTAGTCACTCTAGCATATTCGCACTAATAGACTCCTTGCAGAATATTCCCAATGCAGCCCAAATCAGAGGACAAAAGCAATAGAATCTTACTCTCACGAGAACTGAAATTTATTGCTTTGTCCAGTGAGTTGAACGGCTTTGGGAATTGCTGGAATTCGAACCGGTCTGTTGAGGAAAATTTTTACTCTCACGCACTAACACTACATTCAATCCACACGAAGCTCAGCTTACATGTTGATTTTTGTTTAATAAATTTCAACATATCTGCAGCATTGTCACAGCAATGCAGTTCAGCCGGGCCTTTCTTGGAGTGTAGCAAACTTTATTGTATTAGGGTTTTTGTATTGGTATTTTGTATTGGTTCAAATCCCGTTCAAGACTCAAATTTTTTCTGAGTATTTCATTTTGCAGCTGCATAAGTTGTTTGATATACTGCGAGGATGAGCTCAATTTGATACCTTACAACCGCAGTATGTATTGGTATTGTTTAGCTCCAGTCTCATTGTCCTCGGCCATTGTTTTATTGTCTTCAAGGCTCACGTACCCTGGAACACCCAAGAAAGAGCCGTTCTGCCTAATCAAGTATTGAATAATTCTTCCACAGATTTGCAGCATTGTGTTTTATACGACTTACCAAACTCTAAGCTTCGTCTGACTTTAGTTTGCGTGGCTTTATCTTCATCGCGACAAACATTATGATGATAATACTATTTTGTAGAAGACTCTAGAACAAGTGATAATTCGTAATGTTGAACAGTAGGGAGCAGTTTGTGAGTCGTATGAAAGACAATACTGCAAATCTGTTGAAATTCTATTCATTAAAAATCAACATGAGGTTTAATGGTGGCATGCATAGAAGATTGAATGCGTATACGTAAGGTACACTAGATCTCTCTGAAAATTTACTTTAGTTTTTGTATTTTGTACCATATATTTTCTGTCTGTAAGTTCAATTTAAACAGAGCCCCATTCAAACCAGCTTTGCTGAACTGGGCACATCTGTATGAATATTGTTGATAAATAAATAAATAAGTGGTAGTCTGTTTGATGGTGAGTAGAAAGTGTCCTCAATTAGTGCGAAAACGCTAGAACGAAAAGACACTTTAATAAATAGATTTTCTATGCCAGATAGAGAGAGACACCGGTATTCTAAATGATAAAACAGGGACAGGTGATAGACAGGGGATGTGTTGGAGATCCCCATGGGATGGTAGAGACAGTCCTTTCGTGACAGCGGACACCATAGACCAACGCCGGACATGTGTGGTGAGCATATGCGTGGTGGCCCAAGCTTGGTTTCTGTGGTGTCTTGTTATAAGGAAATGTATGGGGATTCATCAAAAATTTCAATAAAAACATTGAAACGTGAAATAAGCCTCGAAATTTTACCCGATTATTGAAAAATAACACTTCTTTCACTCTGTGCGGTTATTTTTTGAATTTAGCCCGTTTTAAGGATTTTTTCCCCCCACCAGTGGGGGCTAAATCAAAAAATAACCACGCAGAGCGAAAGAAGTGCTATTTCTATTAATATAGCAATGGTAATAAGTCGACAACTTGTGATTCTGTCTTTCGCCAAAATAACTTTTTTTTACAATAGCTTGCAAATTTCCGGCGCGCTGATTGGTTATTTTTTTATAATCAATAAGAGGACATACAGATAAAGCTGACGTCGACGAGCACGCGCTCTTTCCGTTGGTTGTTTTGATCGCTAAAAATGAGAAGTTTTTATCGTTTTTGTTATTGTAAAAACAAATAAACATCAGTTTTTTATGTGTCTGTGCTGTCCTCTTTTTGGCAATAAATTTCGTCATCACATTGTCAAATTAGTATGCGGACCCACACTACTTTGACAATGTGATCACGCAATTTATCGTCAATAAGAGGACAGGCACATAAAAAACTGATGTCTGTTTGTTAAGTAAACGCGTTTTCTCGAAACAAAGCAGTAGTGTTCGACTTGTAGTTGGTCTAGACATACTACCCCACGTGATACAAACGCGATATATTGAGCATCATTAGCATCTTTGTAATAATATCAATATGATCGCGATAATTTTGTCTGACTTCCTTCAAAGCATCACTTTTAACCTTGGCTTCCAGAGTTTCAGGCATCTCGCTCCAGCCTAACGGTGATTTCGGCGCTCTCTGAAAATGAAATAAAATAAAAAAGAGCCTATACTGACACGGAATCGAAATATGACGGCCTATTTGAACAACTGTTGTGCTCGTGGACTCACTAGTGTCTCACACAAGTGAAAACATGCGCGCTTTTATGTTTCTACGTGAACACGATGCTAGCCAGTCCAGAGCAATATTTATTCATGCGTTCACTTGCAATGTATAGCGTCAAACTATTCTATAAAATAAGGATACGAGGGTTTGAATAAAGTCTGCTTCGACAAAAGGAAACGCTGCGTTGTTGACAAAATACAGGAAATGTTTCCAAAAAAATTGTTTTATTCATAACAAAATAAAATAAAGACATCCATATTCTTTTGATCGTGAAACTCCGATGGATATTGATTACTCGATATAGACATTATTCTTAAAATAGTTTCGCATATTCAAAGTATTTTGACCACCAGAAAGCCCCTCGAGTTAGTTATATAATTACAATAGTTTATAGCCGACGCTAAAGCTATCCGCGGTAATAACAAAGCTTATTACTTTGTCGGTACATCTCAGCGGATGCTAAGAGCTAGCTTTTAATTGGTCTGAACTAAAGATAATGTATTTTTAAACTCAAATGGACCTAATTTTGTCGTGTACCTTGCAAGTATCATGTCATCGATATGGTGTTGTAATGAAGGACGCAAGTGTTGTTAACCAACACAGGTCCGAATGAGGAAGTCGTCAGGCCAGTGTTTCTAGAAACGCCTTTCCGATAA